ATATCACGCAGAAACTAACGGAGTGCAAAGATGACCTGAGGCAAAAAATCGCTGCTTAGGGGAAGTGGATTCGACGATTTAGCGAGAGGTCAAGGCGGTTCAACCAGAATCATCTCTTCCAGAATGATCAGAAGAGGCTCTATAAATCATTGGAGCGACCAGAGGTACGTGAATCAGGCCCAGGATCGGATCAGGCTGACACTGTCGCATTTTGGCGTGGCCTGTGGTCAGAGCCCGTAAACAACAGCGAGGGCCCTTGGATAGAAGTTGTAGCGAGCCAAAGTGCGAGTTTTACGCCTATGGACCCCGTTACCATAACGCTGGAAGACGTGTCCGAGGCGGTCCGTAGTGCCTCGAACTGGAAATGTCAGGGCTCGACGGGCTGCATTACTGGCTTAAGGGGTTCGTAGTGTGTCACGCTGTGCTCACCCGACAGTTTCAAAAGGCTCTTGATCAGAAGTCGCTCACGAGCCTCTTCACTACTGGGATCACTCAATTGTTCCTAAAGATCAGGATACCACAGACCCGAGCAAAAAACCGCCCCATCACGTGTCTACCCACCATATATAAGACACTGGCATCCATTTTGAGCGCGAGAATCACTCGTCACCCGGAGCTAAATCAGGTGATGTCACGCGCTCAAAATGGATGTCGGGGCCGTGGTCGTGGAACCAAGGAACCACTCCTCATTGACGCGGTCATTGGCAAAGTGATGAAATGAAACCGTCGGTACTTCTCAGCCGCCTGGATAGACTACAGAAAGGCATTCGACTCGGTGCCCCATACTACCCCATACTAAAGAGGGTCCTCGAGCTGTATAAGATTGACTGTACAGTTAGAGACTTCCGCGAGCAGTGTACGGGGCAGTGAAGTACGATCGTTTTTCATCTGGGCGAGCGGATGATGGCTGTGGAGAACCACATAAGGATAAGAAGGGGTATCTTCCGGGGCGATTGTCTGAGTCCAATCTGATTTTGCCTCTCTCTGAACACTCTCAGTACCTTACTGGGGGGTTCCGAGAGAAGATTTCAGCTACGGAAGGGAGGGACAAAAGTGACCCACTTTTTCTATATGGATAACCTGAAGTTATTCACCTCCAGTCGCTCCCATCTTATGGAATTGCTAAACATCACTTGTGAATTTAGCAACACTATTGGAATGGCGCTGGGGACGGATAAGTTTGCAGTCCTCTATGTTGAAAGGGGAAGGGTTGCTAACTCTGAGGGCATAGACTTATCTATGCAGTTCAACTTAAGGACCATTTCAGACGCTGAAACATACCGATATCTGGGTATGTAACAGAACATCGATATCGATGAGGCTGGTATGAAACAGTCAGTTTGCGAAGTGTTTTATGCACTCTTGACCAAAGTGTTTAAAAATTAATTTTAACAGCTTTTAGTCCGGTGTGAATAAAACACACGCATATAATATAACGGTTGGGTCATGCCTGTCCTCATGTATACCTTTGGCATACTTATGTGGACTCAGACTGAACTTAACGCCCTGGATAGAAAAATCCGCACTACCATGACGTCCCATAGGATCGTCATCCGAGATTGTCGGTAATGAGGCTGTACTTGCCACGAAAGCATAGTCGGCGTGGCTTTCTGAGCGCGCTCACCATGCATAATCGCGAAGTGTGTAGCCTCTGTCATTACTTCATGGTAAGATCGGATGATCCATTCTAAAATGACGTCATTTCTCGTGATAAAGGGCTTACCCCTTTATCGTTAGCAAACGAGCAATGGCGGGACCCAACAGTGCTTAGAATTTCCAACCGGAAGACCATATGGAAGGAGAAGGAGCTGCACGGGAGGTACTATAGGGCTCTTCTTAGATACAGTCGCCGCCCTCAACTGGCTACGTTTCGGTGATCTCTTCGGGGAAACCGAGGGATTTGTCTATGCAATTCAGGATCAGGTTATTAAGACCAACAACTATCGGAGATACATTTTTTAGGATGGCACCGTCGAAGCTTGCCGCCATCCGGTGAGTCGCTTAGGCATGGCATCTCCGGTTGCTCGGTGCTTTCTAATTCTGAGTACTTGTACAGGCACAACCTAGTAGCCAGAATTCTACACCAGGAGCTCGCTCTGAAGTACGGTCTCGTGGACCGGAAATTGCCGTATTACAAGTACTTGCCGGAAGCTTTGCTCGAAAATGACCGCGCCAGGCTCTACTGGGACCGGGCCATCATCACAGATAGGACTATTCTTGCGAATAAGCCTGATATTGTGCTGATGGACCGGGCACAGTCAAGGATATTTTGGTCGATATTACCATTCCGTATGACGCGAACCTTGTGAAAGCCGAAACAGATAAGCAATCAAAATATCTGGACCTAACTCACGAGGTGACTGAAATGTGGGGTGGTCTGCCGACCGAAATTATTCCTGTAGTCGTGTCTGCAAATAGGTAATCCCAGCCAGCCTCTCAGGTCATCTGAAGCGGCTGGAAATCCGTGATATACCGCTTCGGGTCAAATTCAAAAGGCGGTGCTACTCGATACCGCCCGCATCGTCCGCCGGCTTATTTCCCTTTCCCCCTAACCCTCGGCCGTTTGTTCTCCTCTGCCGAGGGCTTCCACCTGGTTGGGCATTTATTTATGTATTATTTATTTATTTATTTATGTTAGTATATTAAATATGTGTTTATGTATATTTATCATTTCTTTTTATATATTTATCCAGCCTAACAAGGTGTGAATAATCAATCAATAATAATTAATAATTTAAAATAATTAAAATTATAAAAACATAATTTATATATATTTTTATGGTGTAGGATGACAAACGAGCACACAGACCACCTGATAGTAAGTGGTTGCTGTGGTCCATAGACATCACAAACTAATAAGAGTACTAAATAGACATCTACATATATCTTCGATTACGAAGCAAAATGCAGATGCGTTGTCACCCGTGAGGACTAAGATGAAATGCCTCGCTTCCTGTATAAAGGGTCTCCGGTTCTCTACACTGACCATACGAAACATATCAGCATTTAAGCTACTATTTAACGCTGGTATTCTGTGAGAGCGTGGTCCCCGGTCGAACCGACCCATTCGTACTACAACTATACTACTAATATAACTGCAGCATAGCTCTACATATATATCTCTATATATAGACAGCTCGCTTTTTTTGAGACAACTTAGCGATCGCAGCGCTTCACTTATTTTGTCCACATTTCTGGGAGACTATTTTTTACAGCGATCGTTCTCCTGTTCTCTAACCTCCTTGATAAAGAGTTTGGTTACATGAGGTTTTTTTCTGTTTTTAAGTTATTCTCTATGCTAGCTAATTACTCCGAGTATCAATCACTCACTTTGTGATAATCACAGAATATACCTGTAATTATTGTGAATACCTAATGCAGTAGTCAGTACTATAAGATTCATAGGGATGTTACGGAAGTGTTTTTATCGGAACCGAATTCGGAAGCAGAGTTTCTAAATTTGGTTTGTCAGAACCGGTACCGCTACGCTAGTACTTCTTAATCATATTAGTTTGTAGCAGTAACTGTTACTTAAGCTTTATATTAACAATCATCGACAAATACTTTACAGCATAATTGGATGTAGTCATAATTATATGAAAGTATTTAGGTTTAGGATAACCGAATAACTGAACCTTATATTATTAACCTTAGAATCTTATATTATTAGTTTATACGTAAGGTCGTTAGACTATATTCAATACAATTATTTTTAGCAATGGGTGTCAAAAGAGCCAAGTCCACCTGATGGTAAGTGAATGTTGTGGCCCATAGACATTCACATTTATCAGCAACTAAGGATCAACATGTAAATGCGTTGTCACCCCTGAGGACTAAGATGGAGTGCCTCGATTCCAGTAAAATGGCTCAATTCCATATGATTCTTTCTTATATAATTGAAACTCAAGCCATTGGTGACGACGGCAACTGCTTATTATCTCTACCTCACAGAATACATAAACCCTGACGGGCTCGACCTAATCTTATCTCCTATACCCCGTTTAATATGTAAGATTGAATGCATTTTATACGTTTGCGATCGCTGATCGGTCTAATAGCTCTTTTCGTACACCGAACGAAAGTGCGAATGAGAACGAGAATGAAAGCGAGTGAACAAAAGCGAATGTTGGTGAGACGTTGAAGTATAGACGTTAGTTAAATTAATGCAATAACGTCGTAATAATGTTAGGTTATCATTCAAAAAATGGAAGATTCGTTGTGTTCGCTAATTATTGTACTTATTATAATTAATAAATAGATGCAAAGAAAAATATGAGATAGATTTCGTTTTGGCACTTGTGATCACGTAAAAATGTAATAAAATTGAGGTTATGTTATAATTATAAAAACTATTGAGGAGAGTTTTATTTTTTTATTATTGTTTTTATAGTCGTTTCGTTCTTGGATGCTTTTTTATTTTCGCATGCTATGGATATAGGAATTTATTGCCGTATTATGAGTAATCAAACAACATTACGACTTGAGCAGATATCGACTGACCGAGATTGCCATCCATGAATCAAAATGTGTCAAGCCTTTTCGGACTGTCAGGTCGTCTATACACCAGTATTAAATATATAAAACCGATTCACGAAAGTAAACTTAGAAGAAAAATTATTTTATCTTTAAAAATTATTATGATAAAAAAGCACTTATTTAACAAAATAATTAGGGTGTCAAAGGTTGTTGCGGGTATAGACCTAAGACGATTAACACACGGCACCGCATACCGTCGCGTCTGGCGGAGGTGATAAAGCGCATTTCATAACGGTGCTCCACGCGGTAAAGTGGTTTACGTGCCTGTCCATGCGGATGGAATCGATGTGGTTTTAATCAGTTTGATCACAGACACTGGCAAAAATGGACGCTGAAGTGGTGGCAGCAATCTGGTCTTTATTAAAGCATAGAAAGAAAAAAAAAGAAGATATTGGATTCATCCAATCCATTATCCACGTGGAGTGGTGGTGGCGGCGAGAGCACCGCTTGACCGCCTGGTCGGGCGGTGAACGTGTGTTTGGTATCAACGAATTAAATAGAGGCCAATGCAACTTGAGATCCGATTCACCACCTACAGCGGCGACGAGCACTGCCGTGTGTTAATCACTTAAGTCTATGCCCGCAACGATCTTTATTATTTGTCTAAAAATATGAAGAAAATAATAGAAATTAAATCAAAATACTAATACTTTGCGGTTGCCAAACCACTTGCTAACGCGAAGGAACTATGGCAAATATTTTCTCTACGTTTGTCGGTGGAATTTTGATAGGCTGTAATAAATGTATGATGATGGATAATATCTTGAGGGAGCAGAAAAAAGGTTAGAACGATCGTAATCGCTTTATTAGCAGTTGTGATCTAGTGACAAAAGAAAAGCAGACTGCGGTCGATCCGGTGTTATTGTACTATCGTACCAGTGCCCTCTGCGTAAGTTCCATGAACCAAATCACGTTCCATGAAGAAAAACCGAAAACAAATTATCTGTGAAACTCATAATGAACCTAAGGATAATTTGGCGGAAATATACGGAATTTAAGTAAATTTCATAGTTATTTTTTCGCGATATATTTTGAATTTTAAAACTATAGTACGAAATTGCTCATTATTCGACTACATTTTTGTTTTAAGATATCAGATAAAGCTTCCATAAACTTTAATTGATATTAATAAGAATTACGCACCGGATTAATAAAAATTCTTATATATACCTAATAAACTCAATGAATTTATCGACAACGTTTTTTGTTTCGCTTATGTCTCATCAATAGAGGTGTCTTTGAAATGGAAAAACAGCAACAACCTTGTCTAACTTATTTTGTATCATGTATAAATCGTATAGAGTCGTATCGTCGTATGTATAAAAAGATCAGCTTTAGGAATCTTGTTCTTATTTTAAGATTGGCTCAATGCTAGTAATTACTCTTATGTGTATTCCGCAGACAGAGATAGGATTACGTTAGTACTCTTATAAGTTTGTGGATAGGATTCTCTGCGTAGACAGAGAAACCTATAGACAAATTGACGCCTTCTTTCGCATTCGCACACGAAAAAGATAGATTTATGCATACGTCTTTCATAGAAATGAGACAGAGCGGTGTGATTGTTTGTCCCTTTCTCCGTGCCGTTTTTTTGTTTAGCAAACTACACTTTGCTATACAACTTTGACAGTTGGTAGCGATCTAAGGAGTTTACAAGTTGGTTTAAGTGAGAAAAAAGTGTTATGTGAGCTTAAGATTGGTGAATCTTGTTCAGTTCAGTTCTTAGAAAAATTAAATTTTTTATCTAAATATGTTTTAAAGTCATAAAGATTATTTTATAACCTAAAACTACGTTATCGTCTTTTCTCACTCGAAGCCACGCTAATCATTAGTCTATAGGATTCTCTGTCTACCGTACGAAAAAGATAGATTTATCCATACATAAATCTATCTTTTTCGTGTGCAAATGCGAAAGAAGACGTCAATTTGTCTGTAGGTTTCTCTGTCTACGATGTCTACGGTATATTCTAAGTCTATGGCGTTGAAGCTTACAGGTAGTACCAACTTTATAGACTCATTCCATATGACTATAAGCACTTTTTTTTTTGGGAAATATTCATTGCATATCTGGCAACATTACATACACTGCGTTTACGAAAAAGCAAAAAAAAAAAAACATAAAAGATATTATGTTTGGCTTGAACTTTCTTTGAATCAGTTTTGATTTAACTATGTTATAGACTTAATGGCTATAAAAATATTTAGTAAAGAACTTCCTTTTAAAATTGTTACCAATTCACTAATACGTGACTTAGTGAGGCATTTAAGTATTTTTATGTGAAAAATAATAGATTACAATTCTTGTATTCTTATAACTGATTATAATGAAGCGGAGCTCCAAATTATAATACCTTATATAATACTGATTTTAGAATTTAAGCAAAAACATAACGCATTAAATTAAAAAGGAACTCTTATTGCCACATTCATAAATAATGCCGTCTCATGTGGATTATTACACGTTGTAAATAATTGAAATAAATTTAATTTTAAGGAATTCACGTACAAAGAGTTACATCTTGCTAAATAATTTTCTCCTAGTGGTCTAATTAGCATTATTTCAATATTTGCAATAATTGTTTTGTTTGTTATCCATGATTTTAATAATTTAAATGAAGGGAAATTTCATTTTAATTTGGGTAATATTAAGATGTTAAGCTACCACCCCGGCCTCGTGGTACAATGCCGTTATGTTGGCAACATCTATCCCTTCCTTCCTTCTTTTGCGCCGCTCCTCCAGCCAGAACAGCGAGAGAACGTGATCGATCGAATTTCAAAAAAGACACACACCTACCCCTGTGCTCCCGAGATCACGAAATTACTCTATATCTCCTGATTATATAAATCGGGAGTTCGTGTTTCGTGATTTTTCCATTAAGTGTGTGTACCGTAAAACCTCCACTTCGACGCCCGCGAGGCGATTACTGTGTGAAGAACCCATCTAATTGAACAAAATGTCGAAGAACCTCGCCGATCCGGTTGCGTTCGCGAAGGACTTCCTCGCCGGTGGTATTTCAGCCGCCGTCTCCAAGACCGCGGTGGCACCCATCGAGCGTGTAAAACTGCTCCTGCAAGTACAGCACGTCAGCAAGCAAATTGCAGCGGACCAGCGCTACAAAGGTATCGTTGACGCCTTCGTCCGCATTCCCAAGGAACAGGGTTTGCTCTCATTCTGGCGTGGTAACCTCGCCAACGTCATCAGGTACTTCCCCACACAAGCTCTCAACTTCGCCTTCAAGGACAAATACAAGCAGGTGTTCCTCGGTGGCGTAGACAAGAACACCCAGTTCTGGCGTTATTTTGCCGGTAACTTGGCGTCGGGTGGTGCAGCTGGTGCCACTTCACTGTGCTTCGTATACCCTCTTGACTTCGCCCGTACCCGTCTCGCTGCAGATGTCGGCAAAGGAGATGGACAGCGTGAATTCCGCGGTCTCGGCAACTGCATCACCAAAATCTTCAAGTCTGATGGGCTGACCGGTCTGTACAGGGGTTTCGGTGTGTCGGTACAAGGTATCATTATCTACCGTGCCGCCTACTTCGGTTTCTACGACACTGCTCGCGGCATGTTGCCTGATCCCAAGAACACACCTATTGTCATCAGCTGGGCGATTGCTCAAACTGTCACCACCGTCGCCGGTATCATCTCGTATCCCTTCGACACGGTTCGTAGGCGCATGATGATGCAGTCCGGCCGCGCCAAGGGCGACATGCTGTACAAGAACACAGTACACTGCTGGGCAACCATCTTCAAGACTGAAGGAGGATCTGCTTTCTTCAAGGGCGCCTTCTCAAACGTCCTGAGAGGTACTGGTGGTGCCTTCGTGCTTGTCTTATACGATGAAATCAAGAAGCTCATCTAAACATAATGTAAGAATTGTTACCATTATTACAATTGTGATTCCAAGTCACTATAATTGCCACTCCCTTGAAATCATGTATTATTAGAAGCAAAAAAACGACTATTAGTAACTTATTTTTAGTTAAATAAAAGTGTCTTACGCTGATTCCAATATGTATTGTTTTATTAATAAAATTTAGTTACATAATTGCTTGAATTTATTAAGTATTTAAACACCATTTTGGAAATGTATTAATCAAAGTTCTTAATTTAAATGTAAAAATGATGTTTAAATTATTTTTTATGTGTACATAAAATCTGTCATTGAGTTATGTAATAACCTCCTTTGTACATCATTTCAGAACAAGGTTAAAGTAATTCCAACTGTTACTGTCAAAAGCATCCTTTTGTTCATTGTAAACTGTAATAATTTTATTTCCTAAATGCTGTTAATTAATTAAATCATAACCTTGCTCTTATGTAATGTTCACATTCAACAATCTTACTGTGAATTATCTCAAATCATGTGAATATAGTTATGTAACAATTTGACTTTAGAATGTTTCTTGTGCTATGCAGTGTGAGTGGTTCTGAGTAGTAAAATGATTTAAATCACTTCAAAAGTGTTTTAATGTAGTGAAAATCCATACCGTGGTCTATTGTAACCAGGTAACATTCAGTGTTGTTTGTAAAGTTTAGTAGAAAGTGGACGGCAAAGCTGAAATCATCTATTGTCTCCTCGGTGTGAGTTTTTTGTGATGAAAAATTCATGCATTGCGAGTGAATATAAATATAGTAAAATTATGAAATATTAAATTTGGTTTTATTTTCTGACTGTTACCTACATTACAAGTGACCCACATTCATGATAGAATTGTAGAACTGAAGTTATGTGTTATACCTTGTGTGCCAGTTATGTAACCTGTAAAACTTATCATTTTACAAATATGTGATTACAATTGATTGATAAAACTGGAACACATTCAGCACATAAAATATAAAACTTATAGCATAAAATAGTTGTCAGTTTTCTAAATTTCATTGCCTATATAAAACATTCTGAGGTTTATTAGAAGCCGCCCTAGTCTAGTGCATGAGTGACGTGCAGTCAATAGTCGCATGACGTCACGGTCGCGCTATGAATGGCGCCTATGTTACGTCATATTAGTGGGTACGATAATTTTATAGATTATGTAACAAACAAACACATAGTCCACATAATGGTGAGTGGATGCTATGACCCATAGTCGTCTACATCCATTTAAGATTAAGAAACAAAATGCAGATACCTTAAATACCCAGTTCTCTACATACACTGCGAAACAGCAGCAGTAGCTGCTATTTTACACTGAGAACATTTTCATTTAGAGGTCATTCCCAAATGGATATCCCGTTCTCCAAATACACTGCGAAACAGTAGCAGTAAGGTAACACGCTGGTATTAAGTCGACACTGTTTTGTAGAAAGGGCGAATAACGTTATTCGCCGTTTTACATAACATACCTAATGTGATGAATAAATTAGTAAATTGTAATAAGGGCGAATATGCAATATCAGGCCTTTCTTCGTAACAAATAGGTGATATTCGCCGCTACATTTTTTTTATTTTCTGTTCGCCGTTACTACAAATCGAAAATCGTAGAAAAATGGCATATTCGCCCTTTCTACAAACCAGTTAGTGACCAAATCTCGCTACAATAATAATTTAGCTGCAGCATGGTAATAT